TTTTTTTTTTTGTTTTAAAAGAAAAGTAGTTGATGACATTATGCACCTACTAGCAATCACCCTTTGAAAAACTTGCCGAGACACCAGAGCATGCCGCCAACCATTGCCAGTGGATAAAACTGAGGAAGACCTTCCCAGATCCATGTTGCAAATGCGACTATGACGATAGAAATGCTCATCAGCCACTGAACATAAAATCCTAAACTAGTAAAACAACAACAATTTTTATTCACTATGGTCTCTGTTTTGAGGCAGTATTATACTACTGCAAGAATTTTCTTAAAGTTTTAAAGTCTAGTTTAAAAACTTTCTCAAAAGTTGAACTAATATTGTTAAAACGCTTACCGTCACCAGCATTGTACTTCTTAATAGGTACAAACATTGAGCCAAAAAATACAGACGCGACAGCACAAGCTATCAAACCTTTTAGGAGACTTTTTTCATTGGCTATTTCCACAGTTTCAAGCACTGTTGTCTGAAACTTAAAACTGTTCAAAATGACGCATAAATCTAAACACTTATTAATAATTATTAATAAATGTATTAACGTGAGCAATTAAAATTTGTAGTGAGATGACTGTCACTTGCTTTACCTATGCTTGACGAAGTCTGATAAAACAGATTTATATGTTGTCACCACAGTTTCATATTTCATTTACTATAAAAGTCATTTCACGCCAAAGCTATGACAGATCATATGCTGTATCTTGGACTCAATTTGTATACGCCATCTTTTTATGCCTGCTAAGACATCCTATATCTTTGAGCTTTATCTTATCAGATTTGTCGATTTTCTTGAGTCTTGGTCGGTAACATGTGATAATCGTCTCACATTTGATCGTAAATATTCAAAATCTTTTCAAACTTTGCTGTTTGGCGGGACCTGACGCCAAACTTGAAAGCCGAAAAGAGAATCTGGAAAGACCAACTACCCATAAAGTTTTACCTTTTCAAGCTGCAGAGGTTTTCGTTCTCTGTTTAACTAGGCCTTTTTTAAAGCTTTGTGACTTTGCTATGTGTTTGTAGAAATTTGAGTGAAAGCTAGCATATTTCTAAAAAAAATTAAAATTTTGATTTAAAAGGAGGACTGTCCCAATGCAACTCGTTTAAATTTTCATTTATTTTTTTTGTTTTTAAACAACATTTTTTTGAAGTAATATTTTTACTAATATTTAGAAATTATGTGTGCATAATTTTGCTAAAGTCTACTTTTAAGCAATGACCTATTCTTGCCATATGACTTTAACGTTACCAACAAATACTTAAATTTTTTGAAAGTCTAGCTCAAAAACGACTCCGTTTTGAAACTAAGAAGAATACCTTTGCAATGTTAAACGTGTGCTGTCGGTTGCGATTTGACTTCACAAGGTATTCATTACAATCTTGACTTCTTTCTTATTTTGCTTAGACGCCGACTGACTTTCTGATGCAAAACTCCTATTTCAGAATCCGCGCTGTATTTAATTTTTCAAACTGCCCTTTGCGCAGTTTTGAAGTCTAAGCGAGACGAGCTATTCGAAGAATATTCACTTTTTAGTGATTCATATTCATTTGCAAACTTTGGAAACTACATTCAAACAACCTCCTCTATTACTAAAGACTTTCTGTATACTTTATCGGTTTCCATGTCACCTATAGCAGCAACACTTTTTCTATTTAGAAAGTGAATTAGCTAAAAGGTGATTTTCTTGCATTTAAAGTACCTTTGAAACAAGTAAAAAAAAAATAAAAGAAGAAAAAGCAAAGTGTGATAAGCAGCAAGATCATTAAGCTTTTCATCAGTGCAGCACGTGCCAACCTTATGAATCACGTCCTTGAATTCGAGTAGTTTCAAAGTTGAAACTTGCTTGTCGACCAAATTTGACCAAATTTGATAAACGAGCCTTATGTTTTAACAAAATTCCGCGTCCGAACCGCTTTTCAGACTGTTATTTGTAAGTCTACCAAAGTTAGTGGAAAGTTGGAAGGACATCGGATGTCACTAAAAACACTTAAGTTGCTTATCTCAATTTACTTCAGCTTGAGTAATTCCTGTTTACAAGAAGAAACCATTCTAAAACCTTTCCTTCTTAGAAAGCAAAAAAATTTATTGCGAAACTGTTTTCGAAGCAGCTGAAACAGTTTCTTTTGTAATGTGTACAAATGTTATATTCTTGTACATTTTAGGCTTCTTTATTGAAATTTATATTAAGTAAATGTTTTGAATCTAGAAGACATTTTTTTAATTCAGATGCTGAATTGGTTGATTTTGTGCATAGATAACAAAACTACAGAACTTTGAAAAAGACTTGTTTGATCAAAAAATGAAAAATTCTTGTAATAAGACCAGGTAAAAATTGACTATTAGCCCGTTTTTTCAGATTCTGTTTTCAACTTTTAAAATTTTTGCCAAGTTCTGCTATTTATTAAAGTTTGAAAAAATTCTCAAATGTTGACTGGAAAAAGCATACAATTTAATGTGGAAGAACTAATACCTGTTATTGTAGATGACTGAAGAAAGCTGACATATCTGATAAGATTAAGGCGGCAAATAGTAGAAAAGGTCGTCTTAGTAAGTACGGGGAAATATGGCAAACAACCTGAGTTTGATACACAACTTATTATTTTTTACAGCTCTGGCGTGGAATGAAGAATAGAGGGTGTGGTAACAGCAAGAAACTTGTGCTAGATTTTTCATTTCAGAGTTTTATCAGTAGTTTATTTACGATTTACGAATACATCAAAGCTTTTATGACTAATATTTTTTTATAATTATAGAATAATTTTTTTCTGCTTTGTTTGACTAAAATAAAACCAAGTTATCGCTGAGCGGAAACACTTTGCTTTTCTTTTTATGTTTGGAAGTATGTCATGAAAGTTCTAATACAGCTGCTTTTTCACTTGCCACTTTTTCGCAACAGTGTTAGCAGATTCTTCATTTTGATTTGTTAACAGTGTCTTGAAAATTTGTCATTTTATTCATAACAGCGTTTACAGTTGCACAAATAAGCATTTCACACAGACTAAAAATAATTCGTCATTAGTTCTCTCAAAGAATTACTAAATGCTATTGTGTGCTGCCTCCTTTACACTGCAATCATTTTACGGGGGGATCCACTTTCCAGTTTTCTGGTTAAAGCAGAAACAAGACGTCTTTTAATTTTTTAATCTTTAATTTAATATTTCACATAAATGTTTTCTTCTAAATTTGTATGCTTAGTTTTAGCTAAGCTTAGCAATTAGTTTTGA